TAGTAAAACATTAAATTGGACTTTATCACAGTTTGACAACCAAGCAGTTTAAAGGATTTAAAGAGGAATCAAGAACTTTCCAAACCATTTCAACCTGCTTTGCATAAATTAAAGACGACCAGGGAAAGGAACATGCGTTCCTAACTACTGCTCCGTCGCATCTTGTCTTTTCGAGCCCACTGGATTTTTCGGACACGGCCCATAAAAGCAAAGAAAATGGAAAACGACTCCCAGCGGCTCTTACTGGTCTGCTTCCCGGCCTCCTCTGGCTGTTTTTGTTTTTCAGGCCGCTGCTGTTAAATTGAAATTTGTGACGGCGTGGCGTTTGAAGGAGGAACAGGCGATTAAAAATGAATTGCAGTGTGTATTTCTGCAGCTGCACAGAACAGGCAGTTGTACGTGTCGCCGCTCCGGCAGGAACCGGAGAATATGAGCAGTTCTGGGTTTCTCATTAGGGTCGGAGTAAAGGTTAAACACAAATTTCCTCTTGACTAGCACAAGTTGGGATAACATGCTGCAGGAAGATTAAGATGACTGCTTATTACATGGGACATTTTCACCTTTATTCATTTCAACTGTTGGCAGTAATCCCACTTTAATAAAAAAATCCCTGCTCCTGTGTCACAAACCAATAAAATAAGTCAAATAATTAAATGCAGATCGGTGCCAAATATTTCATCATTTTAAACTGATCTTTAGATTATCAATAAACACATTTAATAAATGCAACCATATGCATTTATGTTTATTTAAGATGTCAAGTTTTTGCATCCTGCCAAGCCCAAAGAACATAATTTAAAATTTAAATTTATACTTACACTACTTTCGCAGTTCAAGATTATTTAACTAATTGATTATTTTGATAATTAAGCGAATAAAAAATGTCACATTCTGCATATTTTTCACTCTCCATTTGAAATTATTTTACATAACATTGGAAATGCATCAATTTCATTTGCAAGACATTTCAAAGAGCTTTACATCATAATAGTTATGCAACACAGAATAAACAATCAAAACATTGCATTTAGTCAAGATCCATCGTTAAATTGTTAATTGATTCGGTTTCAAAAGCAACTGAAACAGTTTTTAGTGTAAATCTAAAGTCACTCAGTGTTTCGGCTGTTTTACAGTTTTCTGGAAGTTTGTTCCAGATTTATGGTGCATAGAAGCTGAATACTGCTATTCTTTAATGCATTGAGGTGCTGAGCCGTTCAGTGATTTATAAACTAACAACAGTATTTTAAAGTCTGTTCTCTGAGCTACAGGGAGCCAGAGAAGAGCTTTATAACTGGGCGATGTTCTCTGGCTTCCTGGTTGTAGTCAGAACGCCAGCAGCAGCGTTCTGGTTCTGACTGATGTTTCAGTCAGACCCGTGAAGACGCTGTTGCAATAATTAATGTGACTAAAGATGGATGAGTTTCTCTAGATCCTGCTGTAACATTAATCCTCTAATCCTGGAAATGTTCTTCAGGTGACAGAAGGCCGACTTTGTAATTGTCTTTGTGCGGCTCTGAAGGTTGAGGTCAGAGTTCATCCCTCCATCCAGATTCCATCCTGATTGTTGGTTTTTGGTTGTAATAACTGAAGCTGTGCATCGACTGTGGAGCGTTCTTCTTTGTGATAACTTCAGTTTTGTTTCTGTTCTGTACAATAAATTTTTGAGTAAAATCAAAAGTTTTAAGCTATAATTATCTGAATTTCTTAGGGATTAATGACATGTAACTGAATTGAAAATAACACCAGGTCCTTACACAATTATCCCAGTAGGGCTTTTGCCATTTCTATTATGACTGGACTTTTTGTTTGCAGTTTAAGAGGTTTAAAAGGTGGCGTGTAATCCTGCAGAAACACTCGCCCTTCGGCTAAATACATTCTCTTCACTATTATAGCGAGACAACATCGCTTTATAATATCTTTGACCCCTATTAGTTTGAGTCTGACTCATAATCTTGTGATAGTCACAACACAGCAGCAGCTCAGAGTGCAATAATAAACCTCTGCGACGGTTTGAAAGCCACTTCATGCTTGATTTAGGGCATCAGCGATGAGCGCTAACCCCAAAAGAAACGTGAAACTGTTTATATTCCAGCTAATTGTAACTCGCCTGGGAACTCGTTGGTGTAAAATAACATTTCCTCTTCAATCTGTTTCTATAGAGTTGTTTTTAGTTTGATATCAGTTCACACTGCCATTTAAATCCCAAAACAAACAAAAACACTTTCTGAGACAAGCGGGCCGCCTCTGCCTGCCACAGCAGGGGTCTAATTCACTTCCTGCTCAGACGAGAAACAGGAAACACGCTCCCTGACTTTCCCAGAAAGTCTATTTGTTTTATGTTTTAGTAGCATCTGGGAACAAAACCAAATAAGTCTAAAAAGATTCGATCTGTGGCACATAAACCGCCTCCCCTAGCTCGAAGGAAACACGCTGAATACTTTGTCCAGAGTCACATGAAGGCTTATGGACAAATGAATTATTCAAACTGGAAAGATGTGAACATGCTTCACGCTCTAAAAAGACCACCAGAGGCAAACTAAAGCAAGAGCCCAGCCTAAACTCGACAGAAAAGAAACATAATATCTGAAAATGTAATTCCTCCCTGTTATAACCAAATCATATAAAATAGTAATGTCTCTGAAGGGCTTAGAGGGGCGAAAGCCTGAAGGGCAACACTAAGAAATCTAATTATCTAAAGAATTTATGCAGACATTATTTCTACATTTTAGGGATACAACTTTAAACTGCAGTAATATCACTGAACTTTACTGAAATGTTAACAGTTAGGATGTGAATAAAGATGGAAAATGTGGGAAAATATATATTTTTTGCAAAATAAAAAAGAAACATGCTTAAAACATGTAATTTTGTTGCTACAATCCATTTGATCAAGCATTAAACATTCATTTTTATGTACTTTTCACAGATTACATCACAATTACAGATAAATAAAATATACAATTGTTAAACCAGAAGTAGATATAATAAAAACAGTCAGTCAGTTGTTAATAACACGAAGAGGAAAAGGTTCTTTGGTAGTAAATGAGAGAAATGGTTGAAAAAGAGTAATGTCATGATAATGTGTCTTCTCACCCGATAGACCAAAGTTGCGACGTTTCTTACATTTTCAGCTGCTGTGGTTCGATTTCACACCACACTGTGTCAAATAAACCAAACCTTTTGAAAAAGCTGTTTCCCTCCTCGCCTGTGGGGGCGCTGCACCGAGCCCCAAACAGGAAACGACATGAAAAGGATACTGAGCGCAACTTCGTTCTTCACAAAATGTAAACGAAAACAGGTTTTAGCGGTTGCTCTACACTAGCACATTTGTTTGGCTGTATTTACCCAGAATGCCTTGCGCTGCAGTCCACTTCCTGCTTTTGGACCAGTCTCTGGTCTAAACTGAGATCGAGGTTTGTAGGCAGACTAGAGAATAAAATTGAACTCTACCTGTAACGTATACTGAGCACAGCATTGAAAACTGACAACAGCAGCACAATAAATCACAATAAACGAGCTGCAGCCACGGCCGGGCAATAAAACAATAATAAATATCGCAATAGACACGTTATCAATAGATGGCATGTCAGCTTTTCACTGGACCCTGATCCAGACATTGAAGTAAATGCAGAACATTAGCCGCTCAACCTCTCATGCCCAGCTATGCTAGGTTAACTCTCTCACTTTTTGGTTACCTAGCAACAACCTGCTGAGTAACTCGCGCAGCAGCAGTTTATAGTTTAGCTGTTTAACAATAGAAAAACAACGGAGTGACGGCGTACTTACAGCTCCACAAAAAACTGGATAAACGAGGAAACGTCACTCGTTTGTCAATATTCCAGACTTTTAAATTGAATTCAAATTAAAAATATTTATTGATTAAAAAAAATTAATTAAATGTTGTAAATGGAAAGATCTCTTGTAAAGCCTTCACTGGCAGTCCAGAACAGACATGCAGTGCAGACACAAAGAACTTTAGAGGTTTGATGTGCATATTTTCCATAATGAGGCTAAATATGAATGCAAAATATGAGTTTTCTGGAATAATGGACAGCTGTCAATCAGCTGTCAAAAGCTCAGGTCACATTTTCACCACAACGCCTGGAAAATGCCGCAAAAGTGAAAAGGTTACATTAAGGTGACATCAACAAGAGAACAGATGATGGAAAGAAAAGAGGTAGAAAGGTCAAGGGAGACAGAAAGAGAGACGGATTTTCAAAGGTCTCCATTCACCCGCCGCTTCTCCTCTGTGCAAACCCCCCGTCCCCCAGACAGCGGCGCGGGGCGACTCACAGCTGACATTTACTGCCTGCCTTCTGTTGCTGTGATTATTTTCTTCTCCAGGTGTGAGAGCCAACCTGCGGTTTGCTGCTTTTGGATGAATGTGACCCTAAACGCATCCCCGAAAGATCGGGTTAGATAAATCCAGGGAGTATGACGGCTGAGGCAGAACCAATGATAAAATGGAAGACGATATATCTCTATAGAGATATATATATAGATATATATATCTATATATATATATATATAGATATATATAATATACCTATATACACCTATAGATACATAGATATATAAAGATGAGAAAATCTGAAGAAAAATGTCAGATTTTGTCTTGTCTTTTCCAGCAGCCATTGTAAAGTGCATACAGTCGTAAAACCAGCTGACCAAATGTGCTGAAACTCAATTTGGGTTGCTAGGTAATGGGCAGAGTTCTGCTGGGATTGCTAGGTAACCAGCTGGGCTAAGGTGGGGTTGCTAATTTTTGACGTCACATTCAGGAAGTTTTTGAAGCAGCTAATTTTTCAGAAACCCAAAAACATTAACGTTTGGTGTCTGGGTGTTTGGTTGGTTTTTTGCTGCGAGTGCTTTAGCTATTTTTAGAATCACTAAAGACCCAAATGGAACTAGAAAAATGTGTAAAACATGAATTTTTGCATCATAGATCCCCTTTAGTAATGAAGGAAGCATCAGTTTGTTAGCGCAGCCACGGAGCCTACCTGTCTGTGGATGGAGGCCGGTCGTTTCGGGCCCGGCTGACCGGCGAGTAGAGAGAGTCAGAGTGCTGGTGCTGGTGATGAACGTGAGAATATTCGTCACGGGGGCTGTGGGCCCGGCTGTGACCGCTGTCCATGTTCAGAGGGTTCACGCCGGAGTAGGTGTGATCCTCCTCAGAGGATCTATCCAACGGGCGGCTGACGTCCAAGATCTCCGCGTAGTCCCGTTCCCGGGCTTGGCGTTCCCTCAGCTCCCTCGTCTTGGCTTGAATCCTGACAGTCAACAAATTGACTTTTTAATATTTATTACTGAAACACTTTTAAAAACGTAGCTGTGCTAACACCAAAGTTCACACAGTAAACATAAGTTCAGCTAACACTAAAGTGCTACATCAGTATGTTATTTAGTAGAAGCTAATGCTAACGCGCTGTATCGTTCATTTGTTCATTTTCTGTTGTTGCCATTTTCTCAATAAAGTTTCTTTACAAACAAAAGGAAATGGAACTACTCACTTCAAAATAAGAGCATGCACATAAATGTTCATTTGAAGATTTAACCAAAAGTTTAATGGAGTTGTTCACTTTTACCAGAATTGACACTTTGGCAAAACTGACAGTGAAGTCAATTAGAGCTATGGAATTTATTCTGGGAAAGTTAATGGGAAGCTATGTGCGCTAGGCATGTGCAAAGTTAGCTAAATGCTAAGCTAATGGGTTAGCAGAAGTGGCTCTGCCATTGCTGACTCTTGCTGCTTGCATGTTTAAAGTTTCCAAGCGGATTGATTTTAAATGGTAACAATATTTAAGACTTTTTACGCATTTAAATAACGGTGGCTCATTTAAATTTCAACTAAGCAAAATGAATCTGTTTCTCTGTAAATTCTGTCATACTAACTGTAATAGGTTTTATTTCACTTATCAATCCTGAAAAATGCATGAAAAGTTCTTTAAATATTTGACTTTTTTGAATCTAAAACAAGTTAAAGGAATTTCAGATTGAATTATCTTCAAAAATAACTGCAGTTATTTTTTTTTTTTTTATTGTTATTCAGAAATCATACACTGAAGGCCCTACAACAATTTTACTTCAAATTAGAGCATATTTTACTTTGTATGTTCACTTTTATTAGATCTATGCTGATGACATTCGTGCATTCCTAAAATCTTTCCAGATTTTTGTCCTGTTTTTATGTCAGAACAATAAATCAAAACTGCATTCATCATATAAAAAGCAAGAAAATGCTTACAAAGATTTAATTAGAAACACACTAAGGATGAGATCCTAACCGCTCATTTTAATATTTTATGTGACAACATGAACTGAGTGGTTAGGGGTTAGAGGTCATCTTCTTTGGTTAAACTGAGTTAATGAAACCAACCGACACAATACATGAAACAATATCCACACAGTCACCTCACTGAAGGTGCAGCTATTTATTTTTAGACGAAGTGACTTCTTTCCTGCTGCCAGACACAGGTTCGTAATGCTACCACAGAAATAATGGGAACGAAACAGGAAGTTGTGACATTCAGCTCAGATTCTCACGACTTCCTGAGACATGAGAGTCCAGAGAGCTGCCAGGCTGGAAGCAGGTTTTTCTCTGCAGACACGGATCCTGGTTCAAAATCAACAAATACTGCTAATAAAGGGAAGGAAGCTTTACTGGAAAATAACTGAAAAATGCGTATTGTAGAATAAAAGCAGTGTCAATCTCATTTAAAAGAAATTTGAAAATGAATAATCTGATTTTCTTTGTGTTTATTTGAAATAAATTTCTTTTTGCTTTTCATTCATGATTTATTGCTACATGACTTATTCATATTTATTAAGTGAATGAAATAAAAAATAGAATTAAAGTAACCATAAAGCTTCAAATAAAAAGAAACCGAACTAAAATGCAAATAGTTACAGAGAAAACACCCAAAAGAAGGATTAAAAATGTATGTAAATGTCATTATTTAACCATAATTCTTACAAGATATAACAGCTGTTAAAAAACATGACCAAGTAATTACTCTATTTTCTATCAAACATTTCTGAACATCAAATCGATGTTATTCAGGGTCAAAAGTCAAAATAAAACTTGTGAGAAAACAACAAGCAAAGATTTCACGTTTGAACGAAAACCCAGTTTGATGAAAGTGGAGCAGCGTCTCAGTCCCACATTAACACGCAGGCGCCGACAGTTAATTCTGCTTTTCTTTTTCCGTTTTCATTAAAGCAGAGAGAAGACACGGAGCCTGCTGTTCACTTTGCCCCCTGTGAATAATAAACTGCGGGTTACGGTCTTAACCAACAGTCCAGCCGGCTAATGCACCGAACAACACAAACCTCTCAACATCTTTGTGTCTCAATATAAAAAACAGGAAAAAGAAAATCAGCATTTCTACTCCAGACGTCATGTTTGTGAATAATTTCCAACATTTTTTAGTGGCAGAGGGGGACTAACGATAGCAGAGGCCTGCAATTACAGCCGTGACAATTATCAGAGCTTTACAGCTAGCAATTATCAAACTGCTTTGCTTTCTTTATAGGTCGCTTCCTAACGACGCTGGGAAACAAAATGGGACATCACCCACACGGGAAACCCAGCGGCGTCGTTTTGGAAACGACTCGCAGAAGAAATGAGACGTTCAAAATGAAGGAAAATAATTTTAAGCTGACATTTAAGAGCAGAGCTTCCCAAACTGTAGTCTGTGTTTACACGCCACGTGCTGCATGACGTGAGGTGAGCGCAAAGTACGGCAGGTAAAGTTAGCTTACCAAAAGAAGAGACAGATGGAAAGTTTCCCAGAAATGTTGCTTTTCAACACTTTTATGATAGATAGCATGAAGATCTGGGTCTGTGAGAGCAACAGGGGTTGAGCAGCGCTGCGCCCCACGCTGACTAGCTGCATCTAAACACTTAAAATAAAATGATTACGTTTAGAAAAGATTTGTTAGTCATATGTAAAGGAATCTGTTTGAATCTAAAGGCACTGATTTTAGTATAAAATGTATTTTTAGTTGTATAGCAGGCCTTTTTGCTGCTTGGATCCAATGGAGAAAAATCATTCCTTAGAAGAGATTTCACAAACAAAATTAATAACTTTACAAGGCATTTTTTATCGTTTGATCAACACAACTAAAAAAAAAAAAATCAGATGAATTCTACAGCAGGAAAACCTACGATTGAGACGGTTTTCAGCAAAATGCTGCAGAACTAATCAAATGTACATGAAAAATGTCCAAACTTGCATAGAAACATAAAGATAGAGCTCAGGAATATGCTTTTAAGCTGAATTTTTCCTGAATCCCCCAGGGGATGTTCTGGAACAGCATGTCAGATTTGTTCTCGCTATACGTTGAGTCAGCGATTATCCGACAGCCCAGAGGGATCTATGTTTAAACCCACAGGGAGAGCCGTGTTTCCCTCCAGGGGCCGCAGCAGCTACTGGGTGTAAACACAAGGCCAGATAAGATAAGGCCAGACACGGGAATCTCACCAGAGCCGGCGTCTCATCGAGCAACAAGAGTGGAAGAACCTGTCAAAAGCCTCTTTTCACAACTCGGTTTAGATCAGGAAAAGTCAATAAAATCCAGAAATATATATTTTCCCTCCACAAAGAAAGTCTAAAATTGAACTTTGCAACTAACAGGAAGGCTGTGGAGTTGCTTTCGCCAATCCAACTTATAAACAATACAAGTGCATTAAAACTATTACTTAAATGTTAAGTCTGAGATAAATATCGGTGATATTTACTGTAGCACTTGCTGCCGATTAGCAAAATTAGCCCGGCTAATGTAGCTTTTAGCTGCTAGCTATTGCTACATTAGCCGGGGTTTGTTACTGCATGGACTAACTCTGCCAGTCACTGAAACCTTGTCATTCACAGGAAGAGTTTCAACTGATCAAATCCTTTGATCAGCATAATTCAGGCAGAAAACCTAAGATCGGCTTGAGGCAGACAGTTTTCGGCAAGATACTGCAGAACATTTACACTGAAAAATGTCAACATTTTCACACAAATATAAAGATAAAACATTAAATGGCCTCCTCAGACAATTTATCAGCAATAAAACAAGTTGACACTTCAAAAGTAAAAAACAAGTTAACAGGCAGACATTTGCCCACCTACTTTCAACCACGATAATCTGAATATTTGTTTCATGTTCTGCTCATTTTTTCCCTCCTGCAAATGAAACAAAACTTCTTTCTTTTTTTAAATGGTGGAGACTCAAAATCTTTACCTTCTTGTCCATCCTGAAAGCTTTTACAGCAGTGCAGCTAAAAAAATTTCACAAATACCATTAAGCGATGAGTGAAATATGGCAGGAAGGAAAGCCGAGTTTCTAACGTTTTATTTTTAAAAGCCAAAATCGGTGAGTGACGATTTGAAGCACAAATAACAATAAAACAAGAAACTAAGAGTTGGTGAATGAAAGAGGGTAAAAATGACAGGATGGGACATTATGGCTGAAGAAATGCATTCGATGAGTGACCTTTCTACCACATCAGGACAGAACAATGGCCCATTATGTCCCATTGTATTCACAGAGTTACAAAATGGGCTTTTTAGCCGCAACACTGACAAACGTGTCAGACCGGAGTGAAAGGCAGGAAGTGAAAGAAAGGAAAAGGTCTGGAGGGATAAGATGGCTGCTAAAGCTTCTCCTGTACTGATAACACACGTTTGGGTTTGTTTGTTTTAAAAGAGTTGGTTAAAAATCAACATCATGACTGGATTAAACTGTGTGTAACTGACATAGTATCTCCCAGGAGATTTTTAAACATTTCGCAACAGAAATGCATGGAAATCTGAGCAGCTGTGGAGGTCAGAGGAAGTTCAGCAAGAAAATGACTTCATGTTGGACAAACTGTAACCCCCTGCATGCGGGACGCCGTCCTAAAACAACCATGTGGAATATTAGTTTATTTTATTTCACAGCTGGCTAATGAGCTAACTGCTAGGTCGCCCAGCAGAAATGTTGATGTTGGATTTCTTTTGGTTGGGGCAGGAGGTGTTTATCAGGACGTAACGCGACCTGTAAGCGCTTCATGAAAAAAAAGTGGTTAATTATTTAATAAGAGAAATAAATCACATATTTTTGTACACATATGGTTTGGAAAACGTTTCCCCTTCAGAAATGCAGATATACTTTTTAAATGCTTGGATTCTAAAATTATTTTTTCACAATTCTGTACAATTTTAGGAAACCAGTATAATTAGTGATCCTTTTGTCACGTTTCTATTGTAATGAATTACTTAGAAAATAAACTCAATCTTAAAGTTGAAACTGATTCTGATGCAAATTTTTAGGATTTATCTGAAGAAATGGTTTTTGTAATTTTAAACAAGATATAAGAGAAAAAGGTACGAATTCCACTGGCAGATTATTTCACTTATAACATGGGAAAGTGTTTTATTATAAATGAAATAATGTACCAATAGAACAAAAAGAAAGAAAAAAATTGTGGTCAAGATTTTGTGTTTTTGCAGTGGAAAAAAAAAAAAAACGTGTTCAGTTTGCATTTTAGCTGAGTTTGCAAATTTTAAGTGCTTTTTGACTAAAAATGAGTTTTGTGTTGCTGAGAAGTTATTTGTAATTTAGTTTTGTGTTTCAATGTGTTTGGTCTAGAAACTAGACCAAAACTAGTTGGTAATACTTTGAGTTTTTGCACTGATTCAGAACAATCCACCACTTTATAGCAGCCATTTACACCTAATGTCACCATTTAATGTTGGATGTCTGGCGTTAAAAAGCAGCTGTCTGGTTCAAAGGTCACGTGTTAAACCAACTTTGTGATAAAATTAGGCTTTACTTTAAAAGAAAACCTAATCAATGTGATGCGACTGCAGCTATCATGAAACACCAGGTCTGTCATCTAACTCTTAATTCAAAGAGTACGAAACCAAAACCCTGAGGGCGGATTACCACATGAAAGGCCCGCTGTGAACTTTAAACAACCCAAAACATCTGCTGTGGCATTTGCGTTGAATTAAAACTAAAGACTGCATTGCTGCATTATGCGACTGTCAGCACTGCAGGCATAAAGACAGAATACAAACCATACTTTTTACAACATGCTGTATAAACATGGGCTTTAATGACTCCTGCCCTTCAAGCACTGCATGGGAATTAATTAGCTGACAGAGCCGTAATAGTCTTGGCATTTATAAACTGCTGCCCTGCCCCCCGAAAACAAAACAAAACAAAAAAAAAACTAGAACGTCGCACGGCTGGCATTTCAGTTTCAGAGAAGTTTCAGATTTACCATCCTGGATCTGAATAGTGAAACTTATTATTCTGTACATCTGATTAAAAGTTTGAACCCAATGGGTTTCACGATTGCCCCTCATGTCGACCAAAAGCATGAGCAAAATAATCTCTGGAAACGGAGCTGCTGCATGTAAATTCTGCGTAAACGGATCCACGGTTCGGCGTTGGAGACGCAGGGCTGCGTTCAGCAGATTTACTAATGACGCAGCTCTTTGCTTGTGGAAAACCGAGAGCGGCAGAGATACCAGCGGCTTATACATGTATGTTTCCAATTTTTTAAAAAAGCCTTTTGTAGATGCGGCTTATATCAAGGTGCACTCTATAGTCCAGAAAATACGGTAAATACAATTTAGTTCAGGTATATTTATAACTCCAATAAGACCAAATAAGCAAGTTTGAAGGATTTTCGAGTATTTTACAGCAATAATGAAAGTTTTCCTCACCTCTCCTGCTCCATCCTCATCTTCATCGTTTCCTCATCAGAAACCTGAGTCTCCTCGGACCTCCACTTGCTCGATCCTTTCCGGTCCATCTTCTCCGCTGGCCGCTCATCTTTTCGGTATTTCCCAAACCTGGAGCACCAAACGGGAGGCTTTAATTTAATAGAGGTGGGAACTTTATTTGTTCAGTAGATTTAATCAAGAGTGGAACTACAAGAAAATGGATGCTAAGAAGTTATGGAGGCATTTTGAAGGAAAATATAAACAGAAATGTTGTATTTTAATGGTAAAATTCAATGCATTTCCATTTATTTGCTCTTTCCATACTTATCCAAAACTGGAAAAAAGATTCCCTGACTTTCCAGACAGAATATTGATGGGCAAAATAACCAAAAATTAAACTCAAGTAAGAATATCACTACTTCAACACATTTTTATTCAAGCCAAAGTAAAAAGTAGCTGTCCAAGAAATTATTGAAGTAAAAAAGATTTTGGTAAAAACTCAGGTACTGAAGAACTGATCAAATGATCAATCATCTAATATTTAGCAATGACATCAGACAGACCAAAATATAAAGTCAACAATTAATAGAACAAAAAGTAGCAAAATCATTTGTTTCCAAATCAGTTTCTTTCAATAAAAAAACTGATGAAATTTGAACAGAAACTGCAGGTGTTTCATCCAGTGGGTAGAAAATCCAGAAATTTGACTCAAGTCAGAAAAGAAATACTTCATAATAAAATTACTCAAAGTACAGCGCAGTAAAAATACTCCTAAAAGTAATTTTTTTCCAGAAAAAGTTATTCAAGTAAAAGTAATTGAGTAAATGTAACTAGTTACAAACCAACTGACCCACAGAGACAGAAACATGAAATCCACATTGCAGCAACCTGACTGAAAATCTGACTGAATCTCTGCAGAGCGGCGACTTTTCACCGAATCAGTCTCTCAAATGAAGCATTTAAAAAGTTCTTCTCGTGAGTTCAGACCCAATTCAGCTCGTTTAAAGTTGTGGAGCGGACGCAGTAATTATATTCATGGGGAGGGAGCGATGCCTAATGAAATAGGAGCCTTTGCAGAGATATTTCAGCTTGATTGACCCGGTATAAAGCTGCAGCCTGTTGAAGAAATGACTTTGGCACTGAACTCGCTTCCACAATGAACCTGCGTGATTATTCACAGGCAACCCGGTCCGCTGAGAATATCTACGACTTCCAAAGTAACAACGGAGATAGAAACCAAACGCCTGCATGTGAATTAATGAGAGAGAAGGCAGAGGTAGAAAAAGGAGAGATTTTTTTTCTTCCCTGAATCAAATAAGAATAAAGCTAAACTGAGGAGAACAAGGATGTCCTTAAGTGAGGTTCCTGTCTTTAAAGACGGAGCCCAAAGTCACAGGATCAAAAGGAAAGCAGGCGATGTTAGCCCCCCAACCGTAAGAGCGTTTGAGGATTAAAGAGAAAGAACACAGACTACCTGAATTAGTTATAAAGACGAGAGGAAAATAGGGAGAAATGTTGAGAAAGTCGAAGTCCCGTCTGTAAGAAAATCGATGCAGAAGAAAGAAAAACGAAAGCAAAACAAATCAATGACAAAATATGTGAAAAACCAACAAAACAAATCTGCAGAAAAGGACGCCGTGTTAAAAGAAGACATACAAATAAAAAAAAACCCATACAATTACAGAAGAAAATCATTTTTTAATAAAGAAAAAAAAGTGAAGAAAATATCTATTATTCATCTTTATGTTAAACTAATCAATGCCCCTGAGGGGTTTCGGTTTTTATATACTGGAACTGGAAAGCCTTCATTATAATGAAGCCGGGATGGTTAAAAAGCATCATTTTACTGCTGAAGAAAAACGTACAAATAAAATGATTTTTTACAGGTTTTTTCACTTTCAAAGAAAAATCAACACTTTTTAAGATGTTGTTTTCTTCTTATTGCAAAAACTAAAATACATACCAAAAAAATCTTTAAAAAGAAAAAGAATAAAAACAAAAGCTGAATGCCTGTTTTGTCTCATTTCAAGTATTCCAGAGCTGTGGAGACGCTGCTGCAGAAATCAATGCAACCAATGATAAACACATGCATGAAATGTTCTTCAGGTGGTAGAAGACTGACTTCCTAACTGTCTTCATGTGGCTCTGAAGGTTCAACGATCAAAGGAGAAAATGAAGTGAAATTTCCCTGCGACAGGCTGAAACCCAAACAGGCAGGAACCAAAGGGAGAAATTAAGCAAAGCAGGGAGATAGGAGGTGTGAGGAAAACTGATGTTCCAGCGCCTGATCAATGTGACCGCAGCCGCCTGAAACGCTCAGACTGACAGCCTGAAGTCGCCGCTAAGAGCAGGAGTGATCTATCAAGCTCGACATGGCTGACGCGTTCTCTCCCCACACCACTAACTTTCATTAACAGCCCATTAAAAACAGCCTCGTCATACACAAACACTCACACACTCACGCAGGCATGCAGACTAAGATTTATGACAGCAGTGGAAAACTTTGCAGAGGAGAAAGAATATCAACCACGACATGAGGGAATTTAATGATCTTGTATTCAAAGCACGGCGAGGCCGGCGGCGGCGGCGTGGAGCCTGACGTGATCGATACGGAGACTCTGACGGTGGTTCTGCCGTTTTAAACGATCACTTCAAAATGTCAGGGGTTCTGATTCAATTCAGCCGGACGCCTGAGTGTCACTAATAATCCCTTCATTAGGAGAAAAAGCAAAAATAATGCTGCAGCGGGAAAGGATTACAGAGCTGCAAAGAAAATAAAGTTTTCCTGAGAAAAGCAGTAATTAGTAAGAAAACAAGGAAAACACTGATCAGGTTTTGCTCAAAGCAGCGATACAACAAGTGGGACAACAAGTTTGGATGTTGGGCTTAAACTTTTGTGTTGTTGGTAGAAAAGCTGGAAATGTGGAAGAAGAGAACTAAATTTTGTTTTAGCTACAAAACACTAAATTTTCAAATTAATCTGACAAAAACAGGATGATCAAGGTGGGACAACTTTCAATCCTAGTTCTCATCGATATTCAGATAAAAAGACCAGTTTTAAGCATTTGGGTCTACAGAACCAAACTAGTGAAGTTTGGTTCTGTCCTAGAATCTCAAGATATCATTATGAAAAGAAGGATGTTTCATTATATTAAGAAATTACTGGACCCTGCAACCAGAAACTTAAATAAAGTTGCATAATAGGAGGACATGATGATGATTGACAGCACAAAGACCCGCCTCCTGGCTCTGATTGGTTTGGTTTTCTCCATTGGTCTAAAAATTAATATTCCAGCAACTCAACATGCAGCTCAACCAAACAAACGATAGTTTACAGATACAAATTTTGACAATAGTTCATTTAGATTCTGCAGCTTCAGCAGAACCCAAAGCTCAATCCCTTCCCAGTCAGAACCTGCTGCTCTTTAAACGCGTTCCTCGTGTGGCGTCTTCTCCTTTGGCTGCGCGCCACGTCTTATTTTGTAGACACAGCTGGTGCAGCATGCAACAGATTACAGTGAACACAACATCAACTGCAGCTAAGACTGCGAAGACCAGAGCATGGTGCATCAGAGTCCTTTCACCCAGAACAAATCTGAGCGGGAAAACCCATCAGCTGACAGCAAACGGCAACACAAACAAGCTGCGTGTGCGTCAAGATTGTAACTGTGCAGCTTCAGGCTTGTTCGCTTGTTTAAGACGCACACAAACACAGAGCACGCTGTAAAATTAGTGCAGTCCTCGCATTTCTGGGCAACAAGAGTCCCAGCAGATGCCAAGCCGACAGACCGGGAGCAGCTTCTGAGTCCAAAAGACGATCAGAGAGAAAGTTGGCAGGCGGCGCTGCTGGCAGGCGTTGATGGTAATGATGCTTTGATTGGGACTGAGAGCGAAGCCTCAGAGACATGAGAGGGTCAGGCTGATCACGCAGCGCCTGACGTGTCCTCAAACACGCCGCCGCCTCACATCAAAGCCCGGTTCCCCACCCGACTCCTGCACCGAAACCGAAAGGTCTCCTGGGATCACACCGCTCTGCAGAGCGGCACTTTCTGAGAAACACGCAGACTTTGCCGTTTTCATGTCCAAACCTCTGTGGTTTGGGACGGCGCTCACATCAGCACACCGCTTCACCGCGACAAGCCGACACAGACGCAGAATCTGATGCGTACTTTCCCACCCTTTTTTCTGCGAAACGCTCATTTTAGTTCTGTCTGCTAAACCAGACATCACCCATGATGCTTGTTTGTAAATTTCTCTTTGAAACACACCAAGTATTTGCCTTAAAGTGGCAGGAATATTTAAAATGGACTTTTATGTTATTCTCTCATCAAAAACAAACTTTGAGTGTTGCTTTGATTCTTTCATGCATGTTTGAGAAATCCTTTAACCTCCATGGCAAACATTAAGCTGTGCAAAACACATGGGTGGAGATAGCTTTCCCTTCAGTAATGAAGCTCCTTCAGACTAGCCAGCAGCAATTAGCAAACACCTGGTGGAGCTGCAGAACTCGTTATAGAAGCTATTTTTCAGTGCAACAGTGGTAAAAATGTTGCTAAAGGGTTGAAAGAGGAGTCATATATTGTGACTTCCTGAAGGTGGAGTTCAGAAAGACCAAGACCTTTTAAAGAGACAGGGACCCAATTTCAAGGCATTGAGTCAAATTTGATATGGTTAGCCTTTTTATAGTCACAGAACATTGAATTTGAAAAGCTGAACATTTTTCCACTCACATTTTTTTCAGTTTCAATTATTTTCTCTACTTTCAAAACGTTTTTCCATTTTAAAATGTCTCCTTTTTTCAGTTAAAAATTTTAAACAAAGTTTTTGTCCCCAATTTAGCTCCATAGAATCATTAAGGAAATCATTATGGAAAAAGACCTTCAGATGTTTCAAAGAGTTAAACCAGCCTTTGGTTTCAGGTTTGATGTTTCCCAAAGTTTCTGGTCGGTGGAAGTCAGACTGACAGACAATGAAGAGAAACTGAACAAATATTATGAACCGTCCTATAGGCGAAACAAAACAGCTGGATGCCAATAACTTGGTTAGTTGTGTTGTTACATCTGTAATTCTGCTGCACAACTCTGTGCTGCATAATGATAAATTAATTGAATCCAGACTCTCCACAGATGGATTAAACATATCTCACATCAGCCGGCGCTGCCAGTAAACCTGGATAAGGATCAAACAGACGCACTAATTGACTCTTAATGGGGCCAGAAATGAGACCATGTTTTAACAATGCACATCACTCCTGTGGTGCAAGAAGACTTCAGTCTGAAAGGAAAGATATTAACTTTCAGTTCTGTTACAATAAGCCTAATTCATTTTCTGTAAGACACCACAGAAGAAGAAGAGATTCTGCAAGAACTCCTTCACTACAGGTGCAAGAAGAAAATAAAGTCTTCTTGTTCCTGCAGTTCCAGGTGAAAACTAATTTATTTGTTCTTGTGGAGAATATTCTACGCATATATATAAAAACAAAACAACCTCTAGATTTCTTGAAATATTTCCCAAAAGGTTCTGAAGTCGTCTTGCTGGTCATTTCAGACGTTTCGACTGGAGGTTGGCCGGTTTTTCAGAGGATTTTCAACTGTTTGTTTAACTATGAGCCACAAATCATTCAGATACTCAAGAATGAGTCCAATAAAACACAACGCCCAAAAACTTCTGATCAGACCTTCAACTAAATTTTTTTGTTTTGGCAAACTCCAGAATTTGTTCACATTAATTTAAAAAAAATTCTAAAGACTAGATTTATTGCAAAATAAAATTAAGGACTTGGCAAATGTTAAATATGTAAATATATAATATATCTTTGCAATTCTGATGTGACTTTATGGTCATTATTCTGAGCAGAAAAGTTTAAAACATATATATTAAATTAAACAACTATAGCACTGAATCAATAAAAACAATGAATGTCTGAAGAAATAAATCTTTTCAGTTTCAATTTAAAAAATAAATTCAGTCTTTCAAATTCATTTTGGCCACCACCGAAAAAAAAAAGTTCCAATATTTGTCTTTTTTTGTGAGACCTTATGAAACAATAAATTTTGGCTTCAAACTACAATCATCAAAATGATAAAAATAAATAAATAAAGTTTTGAAATATGACTCTGACAAATCTTTATAGGACTTTCATTTTCTGAAATACTGATTTCTTTGTGATATTCTAGTTTTTGGAGATGCTCTCCGTCGATAATGCCGTCATGAAGATATTGATCCATATTGTATTGATCCGTAATGTGGCTCTCAGCTTTATGAAAAAGGTCAGACTGATTTTTACCTGAACATGTCTCCAAGTCCCTTCAGCATTCCTTTCTTTGGTTTTCCCTTCTCTTTTTCCTTTTCTTTCCCTCCATCTTGTTTCTTCTTCTCCTTCCCCGGTTTGTCTTTGTCCTTCTTCTTCTCCTCCTTGGTGCGGTTGGTGCCGTTGACCAGAGGCTTTTCGGGGCCGGCGGACAGCGGCGTCTGGTCCGCCATGGTGGAGACGGAGTCTCTCCCAGATCGGGAACTCTCCTCCGTGTCTTCCTCCACTGCAGAGAAACAAACATGAAAAAACAAAAACTTTATTTTAACCTAAATTTGTAGGTGCTGTAAAAGTGTCGTTCGTTTTTTTAATAAAACCAAAATGATGGAAGAGTTCTGATTGACATTTAAATGGAGGCTAATAGATTAGGATGTCCAAACTGTGGTCCGTGGGCCATTTGCGGCACTTGAAGTGATTTTTTTCTGGCCCTTGACCAAAATACAAAAATGTTTTTTCACCTTAAAATTCAAGGTTTTAAGATGTTTTTAAAAAAAACATATTTTAGTAAAATTTTGGCTGCTGCTGCCAAATAAAATCCCCTAAATATGAAATGTTTAATAAATTAATAAAGAGAATCACAAACTTTTAGTGGGTTTTACTTTACTCCTCTAGATAAAACAAATGTTCGTGACATTTGAGCGACATCTTGATGCTGAGAATAAACACAAAAATAAAATCCAAACAGATAAACCATCGACATTTAAGATATAATTGTTTTTTTAAACTAGATTCAAATAACTGGATGTTATATTACATATATATAATAACCTACAGTTCCTTTTTCCATAAAAATCACACTTCTTTATTTTATTAAAATATTGTATTGTGTTTGTTGTGTCGAATAACCCTAACCCTACTAAAAGATTTAAAAATGTCAATTTTTTGTTGCCCTCAGTTATTTTCCACCAGTGCATCAGACGTTGGGAAAATGAGGAGAAGCAATAAATTACCTTCTGTTGGTAGAAAAAATCAGTAATTTATGTTTAACGTCTTACAGATTTCTTCCATTTTTTTGCTTTTTTGTCCCTTTTAATGTTTCAGATAAACAAGCAAATTCAAATTAATTTTATTTAATTCTGGGTAAAAATATTTCCAAATGATTTGTAAGGGAAAAAGTTAAATTACACTTGAATTCAGTCCTATTGGAGGGTCTTTGAGCATAAACACGATTTTGACTTGAAATTTTGTTTAATTTGTTTTTGCTAGTGGTGGGACTCTGAATTTTTTAAATCCGGCTAATTGCAGCTTCATTAATTTATCTCAACAAATTGCTTTTTAATGAAACATTAAGCAACATTTCCAATTGTTTGCTGGTACATTTCTCAGATTTGCATATTTTGTTACTTTTGTTTTAATATTCTTTTTTTGTAACAGTTGTGGCTTTTTTTTTTTTAATGAATGTTTTCTGTAAATTACACTACTTTTAGTTGTATTTTGAAATGTTAATCATACGTTTTAAATTATTTCCATGAACTTGTTGCAGGACTAAATCTGGATTCGTGCTGATTAATATGCATTGTCCTCCTTATGAAGAAGAATAAAGAAATCTAGAAATGATTTCACCAAATTAACAATTTGGTGAAATTAAGTAAATAAATTTGAAGTACTTTTCACTGAGTTCTACATCTGGATGTAAAAACATCAAACAGAAATAAATCTTCATATGTCAACCTACAGATAAAAATCATCCTCTGGAGCTAAATCTGCTGCATTTTCCTTTGAAATAAAACAAGTAAATAAAATCCAGCGAACAGAGAAATGTCTTTGATTTTCATTAAGGTTACAAACCCGAGTGATTAAAAAGCCACAGCCAAAAGCATCAACACCATTCACTTCCAGATATTAGCCATGAGTCACAATGGCGCCACTCCCATGCAGTAAACAGATATTAGTGGTCGACACATTTAATTAATGTTACGTGGCTCAACACAGCAAAAACAACTAGTTGAGAGTTAAACCATTTCATAAATGTCCAGGGAAACTCGAACTTCTGCTTCGGTGGATCATACCTGCAACAAGAGTTCAAATACTGAATGGATTATTTGACGTCTTACAAGTCTCCATGCCCTCGTCGTCGTCCTCCAAGGCGGCTGGCCGGTCGTAGGATTTGTCGATGGCGGCCCGGAAGCTCTCGTTGCAGCCCCGCCCCCTGATGATGCGAGGGCGCGGTCGGTGGAACGGGAGGTCACCGTTCAGGGTGACCTCTGCTACCGCCGTCTGCAGGCTCTCCAGAGAGCTGGACTTCTTGAGGCCCAGTGAAGGTCCAACGTCCTTAGTGGAAGAACCTGACGGAGAGGATAGACGGGGACATTCTCTAAACGGGCCGTTCAACTTTAAAATCTAACACCATCTAGAATGAAAGTGAGGGTCATGCATGTCTGAATCACATATGAATCTTCCATTTGCTATTAAAAATAAATAATATTGTGGAGTGAAAACTGGATAAAGCAGAAAAAGTTAGCCCACCGGTTTGGCATTATTTTAGAGATTTAAAGCACAAAAACTAACCAATAATGAACAATATTGACTGAAATGAAATGCTTATGTTGAGAAACGTTTTTCTCACAAATCGCCAAGCTCTAATCTGACTTTATCTCAGCAGCCCTGAATTTTTTAAACATATGGAGAAAACTGATTCCTCATTTTTTAAGTTTTGTTCCCATGCAGCGTAACGTTCTTGCAATTTAATTCTGATCAATTATTCAAGCCGAAAAAAATGTCCAATCTCAAGGGTTGAAACCAGATTCTGCTTACGCCAGACTTACTGTCGATGTTGGACAGAAGAACCAGAAATTTAATTTCAACCCATTTAACCTACAAACAAACTGATGACCTCCAAAAAATCCGTCAAAAAATGTTTCTGCAAACAGAAACATCTGGTCCACTTGAGAACCTCCTCAGGGATGGTAAGCAATAAAACTTGACACTGACATGCTGTAACTACAACAGGATATTGTTTTCCAGTCGATTGTGTGATCACATGCGTCATTCCTCCTGACTGACTGAAAACTTCATTACAACATGCGGCTGTAAATTAAAATAACCATCAGCAAAATTGGAGAAACATGACAGTTTAATTAAAGTGGGACAATTCAGTCTGTTGCAGTTTTAATCCCCATATGGCCTGCTTTTACATGATCAGAAAACACACAGAGGGAGTAATAAAGGAAAAGAAGTGAAACTATGGAGGATAAAGGCTTTGTTTACATCAACTATATTAATGTTGCAAACCCAGATCCTACAAGAAGAGGTAGGAAAAATTTAAATATTAGACAGGCAAGAACTTGCATCAATAGGCTTTTAATATAATCAATTAAAAACAAAATTTTAGCTCAGCAGAAGCTCGATCATTGCTCTATATTTTTAAATAATTAAAAACTAGTATTTCAGGTATAAAACTATTTCAATCTCTACATTGGTTAGTTTTTGCGTTCATTTCATTCTTCTACACTAAGCATCAGCATCAGTTGGGAGTAGCATTAGCGTGCAGGTTTGTGCCGTTTTTTATGAGAAAGAATTTAGTTTTAAAAGTTTTTCAGTTAGAATTTTGGCAGGAAAAAAAAAAAGAATTCTGACGGTCGTTGCCATGGTGATTCCCGCCTTTTGGTCACCTTTGTCAGTTGTTGCCATGGTGATTCCCGCCTTTTGGCCACAACGGGATGGAAACGCTGACATTAAGTTTAAAATAATCAGTGTCCCAAGAGTTATAAAAGCTGTGTGTGCCAACATTTAAAAATTTTTAAATGCTCATAATTTAATTACATTTTTTGTTAATCAATTGTGGGAACCAATGAACATTTGTGGGTTTTTCTTCTTTAAATGTGAATGTTTATTTGATCATTTTAGACTATATTTGTGGGATTTTTTAACACCAGTCCAGGAAAAAGGAATGGATGAAAAACATCTTTAGGTTTTTTATGGAAAAGCATTTGTATATAATAATCTGAAGATGGCATTTTAATAACTGCACAGGATTTTTTCCTTCTTGTACTGTGAACTTGAGCTTGTCGATAACTCTTGCTTTTTGTTAAAATATTTGCTATATTTGTGTTTATCTCCATGCTGGTATACCTGAATTTCTCCATAATCAAGGCTATTTCTATTATATTCCATTTTTTATGAATTTATCTAAGATTCTATTTTTAAATTTAGTTTTGTTTTTAATTTCATACCAAAATAGCTGAATATTCCCAAGTACTTAATGTTGAATGCTTGATTCCACTATAAAAAATAGAAATAAACAGATAGAGCCAAAAAACGCAACTGGAAAATTGAATACATGCAGAGTGAACAAGGCTGTGGGTTAGCAGCCTCCCATTTATTCTCATCAGCCTGTCCTGTTCCCTTAGCGTCTCAGCCAGAGCCGGGCTGATAGGCTTTTCACGCTGCACACCCACTTTATTTAAAGGCTTTGCCTGCTGCCATTCACAACAGTCACACATCAGCGACAGCATTACAGGAAAAAAAAAAATAGAGAGTAATTTACACGTTATTGGACATCTGACAAATGGCACGCAGCTACAAATAGAGAAACTTTTCCTGACTCTGAACTTGGCAAAGTGATTTCTTGTGAAATTCTGCTCAGTCAGCCACCTGCCCACAAATGGAGGAGGAAACACAAGCTAAAAGATGTTAAAACGGGAGGAAAAAACCCAACGGCCAATAAAACCAGGTCACAATGCAATGTTTACAAATCTGAGTCAAAAAGACTCCACCTGAATTTAAAGTTACTTCTTGCGTTTATGTCGCTGGGATTGTTCAGACGCATTTTCTCAGAGATTTATGCCACGACTTACATCCTGAACACCAACAACACTGTCCTCATTCACCATGTGGCGGCGGTCTGTGTCAATAAACGCTTCAGCCAATCACAGAGCAGGACGAAAACTCCCTTTGGAGACCAAAACATCAGCGTCGTCGGTCTTTGGTTTCAGATGAACGGCTATGTTTTGACCTGACGAAGTGGACCAAGGACCATTTACATTTAAGACAAATTAAAATAAATGGTTAAAAATCATCACCAGAGGCGCAAAAAGTGAAAATAAACCTAAGATACATGTGAGAAACATTCACAGGAAGTTCACTGTTGGTGTTCATCTTGGTCACTATAGTTGAAATCAACACTGGTGAACTGTAAGAATATAAAACCTTTATTAACTCAAGATTATCTAAAGGATTGAGTTATTTGGTAAATTGTTTAAACCTGGAAAACAGCTGAACAAAAATTTAAATGAGGTTTTGTGAGAATAAAAAACAATTTTCATGTCTCCAGCAACACAGGCTATAAATATGTAAAAAATTTTTTAAAAAAAACCCTTAAAACTATGGTTTTGTTAATGATGCATTGGTATTGTTAACATTGACGCCAATGTTAATGTTCATATAAAACATTTTTATCTAGCTGTCGGTCACTCCATAGCTTCCCACAATGCATCATCAGCCTGGCGGGTGTCCAGGCTTCACTTGTCCTCCCGCCAGGCTAAGCTTTACAGTTCAAACATTGAACTGCTCCCAATGAGTTGATCTTGCGCGCTCTCTCCATGCTTTGTCATGCATCTCTGAGTTTGAGTAGCTTGATGCGGATTGTGATCCACCTTTCACTCACAACCAGGGCTCATTTTGCACCACTGTGTGCACAGAGTATAAAAACTGCACTGCTTGCACGCTCAACAGTTTCCAACCCAATGCAACAAGAAAAAAAAAAATCAAAAACATTATTGGTGGTTTAGGAGTCATTTATTGTGGATATTTATTGTAATTATTCTATGAAAAACATCTGCTTTTATATCTTAAGTACATCAGTTGGTTCATAGTTTTTAGGAGTCACTGTGGAGGGTCCAGTCTCCATCTAATCCTATGAAAACATAATTGTTCAGGTACTTTGAGACACAAAAATTACCAATTCAAACATAAAATTAGTTTTACGCAAACCTTTCAAACCCTCCTTTTGGTTTTTCTGGTATTAAAATGTTTGCTTTAATCAGAGGTATCTGCGGTTTCTGGATGCCAACTCTTTACTTTTCCTGGCTGCTATCGGATCGTAAACACGGCAGACTCATCTGTTGCCACCATTTGGCAGAAACACCTCAGGAAATATGCACAGATCTTTTCATTTTTTGACTCATGCTGCCATAACGACAGAAAGTTGGAATCAAACTCCTCCCCGACTTGTGGTTGCCAACGCAGGTTTCGATTAAACCATCAGATCGAAGCGTCAGTTTGTGGGTTTTTTCCACGATTTCACACTCTTTCAGAGACATCTTCATGTTGCTCCAAAACATTTTCCCTCTCCAAGAGTTTAACTCTCCCCGCCTCCTGGCTCTCCTCCTCTACATGCCACTGATTTCAGCCTTTTATTCAGTCAAAGCGACAGCGAAACTACACGAGACCTGACAATGACGGACGACTTGCTGTCAGCTCGCCGCCTTAGCCGAGGACAGAGAGCTTTCTGCGCTCTCCCTCTCTGAATCTCAGGCAAAACAATTAGTGCTAAAGCTGCATCTGAGCCAAAAACAGGAGAAAATCAAATCTGCAGTCACCCAAGTGCTTCCACCGCCGTGTTCAGCAGCGACTTGAACTCACAGGGAGGACTGCAAGCCTTCAGACGGCACGCTGACAAATTTGTCTTGTCAAGAGCGAGCCTGATGCTAAAAGGGTGGGAACGCTGCGGGAATGCATTTAGAGCAGAGCAGTGGGTAAACTGGACAGAAAAGAAAAAAAAAAAAAAACAATCTGCAAGTCTTCTGGTGGATTTGTTTTTCTAGCTCAGTGCGATTTAATGCCTGTCCCTGGTTTTCCTGTTCGGTTTGAGTCACATCCTGTTGGGAATCGATCTGATCCACAACGCCACACAGGCGGCGGGAAATTCATTCATTCCTGGATGAAAACATGTCCGACTGAGCAATTAAAAACATCTCCCAAGACCTTTAATTGTGCATATTCCAAACGCACATTGATCTTCTTTTCTATAAATATTTAACAACCTCACAAAGATGGATGTAAGACAGACAGAACTGGTTTGGAGGCATCAAAATCACTGGTCTCCATTTCACTGGTTAGAAATAAATTCATATAAAGCTTTAGCTTAAACTTAAAGCTGTTTTTTATAGGGAGATTTTTATGGGATTTGTAACAATATTTAAGATATTAAGACCTTCAGGAGATCACAAGTGGGAACTCTTCTGCTAATATATAGTAACGCAATAATTTCCCACTAATTAGAGACTGAATCGCTACGGAAGTAAAACCATAATACTTAGAACATTTTGCTTCTCCTACATGAATTTCTAAATCTGTAAAAGAAAGAAATGAATTTCCTTATAAAACAAAAACAAACAAAAAAAGATGAATGGTGAAGTAAATAAGATTAAGAAGATTGTAAAAAATGGAAAATAAAACAAGTTCTGTCACTTTAAAGTTAAATCCCCAACATATTTTATTGCTCATTTTGGGGATAAATTTCAGCTGTTTATAGCAAATTGTTCACAACTATTCAGTTCAGAAATTGATCTTTTTTTGCAGTTTTTAAGTCTGACTTGTCTTTTTAAAATCCTAAAATAGTCTCTTGTAAACAACTTTCACTAAAGCATCTAACTTTGAGTGACAAATCTCCAAAATGCACCTTTAACCCGGAGATGTGAAGCAGAAGGAGGTGAAAGGAGAGAAGCTGATTGGAGGTTTCAGTGCACCGGTCCTTACCTGCGTCGGTGTCGGGACGAGGAGTGAGGTTAATCTCGTCGGCTACTGTTAAAGGAAGGAGGAGGGATACAAACATCTGGGGTTAGGTTAAGTGCTCATGACATTCCACATGCAACATCCAGGCTGAGCCGCAAACGTCACAAAGGGGCTTCGTCTCAATCAGGACCGGACGCCATGCGAGACGAGGAAGAGGAGGAGAGGTTGGAGAGGTGAGAATACAGGTTGAGAATAGCAATCAGAGTCGTGGCGATATGAACACGGCACGCAGCAGCAATCTGGTGGAGAAGATTAGATATGATTACAGAGAGAGTGCGAGCAGAGAGCCTGTTGCAGCCAAAGCAATCAGCGACTGTTTGAAGACATTTCAAGGTGAATCAACACTGAACTTCTTGACTTCGGCAAGAGATGAAGTCTGAGAAAATAGGAAGAGTTTGAACAACAAACCTGAAGCGTGCAGGGAAGTGTCGTCAAGGTGACGCAAATTTCAGGATTTAACCTTTTTGAGATAATTAGACGTATAATTATGAAAGGAGTTATTTCGAAAGGAGAAAGTCGTAGTTGCATAAGAGGAGGTGTTTCTGGAGCGTTCTCTTTTACATAAACTTGATATTAATTACAGATAATAAACTTTAAATGCCTTTGCGAATTATCTTACGCTATAGGCTGGTATAGTGCATGAATATGTTTAAGCTGTATGTCGTCAAAAATAATGGTGGAAATAACTCTGCTTTTAAGCTGAGGGGAAGAAGTACTATGAATAATTTGTTTGGTTCACATAAACTGGAAGTAATTGGAGTTTTTTGTTCTCGGGCAAATGTTTAAATCTTAAAATAAAACCCAAACATTGCAGATCACAGTTCGGTACCTAGATCCATGCTCTTGGACTTGCGTGTCTTGATGATCTCGAGCTGAGCGGCGTCTCCGAACTGCTTGGTGCGTTTCTCCGACATGCTCTGGCGTCCGAAACCTTCCCTTTGGAACGAGACGTCCGGATCGTTTTCATCTGGACTCACAGAGCTGCAATTACGGAGAGAAAACTCGAGTTCATAGGATTTAGCAAATATTTCTGAGCTTATCTGGTTTATCTGGTGTGTGGAGACGTCAATGACTGTAAGTTGATGTGCTTGAAATGGGCAAGAAATTATAAGAATTTTTTTAATTTCTTGTTAAAAAGTTTTGACATAAGGACGCCTAGCAGGTTGCATCAACAAAAACAAAGCTGCAGATGAAGACATGAAGAAAATGAACGTTTAAAATGCACCTTTCGTTGTGAGCAGGCAGCTCTTTGGCCCACGGCGGCGTCACATCAGCCACGAAGCCCACATCGTCGTGGGAACTGGACGAGGACTGGTCCGACATGTTGGACGGCAGGAGCGGCGGGCGGTCGTCCTCGATGATCACGGTGTCGTCCTGCGGCATGTTGACGGTCGGAGAGAGCTGATAGTTTCCTGCAGGAGATGCAATTTATTATTCCTCTCATCTCTTCCCAAACGTGGAGTTTTAATCTTTCAGCTGTAAAAGCTGCCAAGCGCATCCTGACTCCGACTGACCAGACGTGCTTCAAATGAATAATAAATGTCAAATGTCAAGTTCTTGTGTTAGTCGTAAGAAATCAAAGAGCAAAAGGCTCCTTTCTGCACCGAGAACTGATGCAAACTAATATTTCAGTGAGAAATCCATCAAAAGTGAAACAAAAGGTCGGCGTCCCGCAGCTTCAGCTCCTCCACATGAAATACTGCAATCTGTGTCACACTTTAAATCATCCATTTTAAAAACTGACTGGAGAGACGGAATTACTCTCCACTTTCAGCATTCATACATATTCCTCATGTTGAAACAACTTTTCCAAACGTTAATGTCCGCAGTTCAAGATTCACTGATTTTTAGCCATTTTTGAAAGAAAAAATGAAGTTCAGTCTGAATTTAAGGCAGAGGTTCATGTAGCAGACAGACTTTAAACAGGGAAGGTAAAAAAACTATTCAACTTTATGGCTGTTTTTATTTTAAAACAACATTTTAATCATAAATTGAATTCTTAACTTCTGAAACTGTGATGTTTCTTTCCCCTAAAACTACAAATGCACATTGGTGATTAATTATTTGTCCCTAATTAAAAAGAAACTAACAACAAAAGTCATTTTTACGAGTCTTTGGATTCCCGGTATTTAAAAGTAGGACTACAAAGGTAAACCTCATACTTTGGTCCAAATTAAAGTTTATTAATTATTCCTTTTTGCTGCAGGCAAAAAATGACCAAAGTTCAACCAACAGGAGGAGAAAAACTCATTAAAACTCTCCTGAATGTATTGGCCAGAAAATAAAAAAATGCATCAAGAGTGAGAGTGATGGTTATTAGAACATCTAGAATATAATTGGAAACTTTGAAGCCCCCCAAAAATACTTTGAGGTCTAAAAGCAAAGAGAAAACGCTCGAAGTTAATCAGCTTTTACCAAAAGCAGTTAGTCAGCGGGGCACAATGGTGTTTCTATGTCAAAACACAAAGATTAATTCAAGCTGTGCCCTCACAAATAAAGATAAAAGCTTTCCTCAACTGAGGGGAAAAACATATAAAAGTCTTCTTTTTCCAGGCAGAGAAAAGCGCGGCTTAAAAAAGGCATTGATATGCAGCGCATGACTCTGTCTTTAATCTGCGTTTTGAAATTGGCATCAAAAACCGGGAGCTTCGACGCTTCAGAAAGGGCTTGTGTACCGAGCTTAGGGAGAAGTTTGTTTGTCTTTAGACAGCGTTTGGAGTTTGACGCGCAGACCTGAGCCAGCCCCGCTGTTTGTTTCTCACAACTGAGCGCAGAGACGGGCGACGTGCCGCTGGGCCTCTGCTGCTTCCAGCCAGCGGCTGAATGAACCGATGGAAACGAACTCAAAGGAAAAACAAAGACTGGATCAGGAGAGGCCTGCGGGTCTGGGTCAATTAAATCTTTGCTGTTCCTGATGGGGATGCTGCAGGTCGGCCTTTCAGGATCCATATTTATAAACATATTTGTGATAAAACGCCACTTCTGCAATTAAATCGCTTCAAATGACCAAAAAGAAAAAGAGTTCAGCACCCGGAGCGAATGGTCCAATCTGAACAAGACGATAGAAGTGGAGCCACAAACAGTGGACAGATGGAGGGACGGGTTGGCGTACTGGTGAATGATGGATGGATGAAGTGAATCACCTATTCTATAGACTGATATTGAGTTATTGGACAACACACAATGAAAACATGAACCTTGTGAATACATGAAAGATGCATTGGTCTCTGCTGCACCTCAAAATTCAAGACATAAATCAAAACTCAAGGTTTCGATTCCACTAAAGTTGCTGAACCTGTCAACAGATGGTGCGTTCAGGGGTAAACGGTTCACAATGGCTTGAATAACCTGGACATATTGGTTGTACTGGTCTGAACATGTTGCCTTTAAAAGAGATGGTCCTTCATCGTTTTAGTGCTTTTAGAGGAAAATGTTGCTCCTTCAGCTCCTCCCTGCTGTTCAAGTTGTTTCACTGTAATTTTGGGGAGTCTGAGTGTTTCAGCTCTGCATCTCTAACTCTCTCTAAGACCACACACACACATCCACACACACACACCCTCCACACACACAACAACTTAATCCCATTTCCCTAAGCAGTCCAGTGTGCAACACTGAGAATCCCATCAATGCCACAGTTTGAATCACCGCAGCACAATCAACTGGCAGCTACTGAGTAGAAAACCAATGAATCTGTCAACTTGGTGGCCTGGTAAGAGCAGAGCGTAAAAAGAGCCTCTTTGTTTTAGAGCCAGGACCCAAGGGCAGCCGTCGTCCAGCAACAATACGCCTGCCAAGCGGAGGGAGAGCACACCCAGCATCACCTGAGAATCAAACCGCTGTTTACGCTCTAATGATCCCAGAGGACATAATAACTTTTGGACCGAGCTGCAGGCGAACAATAGGTGGCAGTTTATTTAGATTCAGCTGTAGAGGCTATTATAATGCTGCAAAGAATGACTAAATACCTGGAGGCGAAAGGGGAAAGAGATGTTTTTGTTGCAAATGGAAATGGGATGGAGTGAGAATAACGCGGGGCGAAAGACGAGCAGAGGTTTTACGTCTCCCCTTCATTTCGTCTTGACTTGATCTATTTGCATAATTAGTAAGGAGGTTATTGCCAGGGGTGCCGGGCCTTGAAAGCCTCTGGCCTGAAGGAATAATTAAGCCGCTCTCTTATCCTTGGCATCTTGAGGGTGAAAAACCAGCGAGTGATCTAAGAGCGTGCAGCGGGGCCAGAAAAGACGATACATTCTGAATAGGAATGATGTTGTCTTCTAAGAAACTCTAATGCATGATTTATGTTTTGTGGCAGCTTTACAACAGACTTATTGCAGGCAACTGTGAATGGCTCCCCCCAGCACTCTCAATAATCTATTCAAGAGAAACGGCCGCCGCGCACGCAGAGCTCCGGCTCTGTGTTTACACGCACACACATCTGGGAGCCGACAGCCACACGTTCAGCCGCTGGCTTCCCAAAGTTTTCCAGATTCGTTCTCAAACCAGTGAGGTCATTTATAAGAAAGCACAAAGTGTGGCAGCAGTAAATTACTTTGCAATGTCTTCGGTAGCTTCAACTGGAGACCACACATGATGAAACTTGCACACTGTTCGTCTGATCCATCATTTTAAACACAAACTCCCTGAAGCTTTTTCTTTTAAGTTAAATTAACTCAAACTGAAGACAGATGCACCACATTTGTTTGCCTGGTGGAGGTGGTGTGAAGCTAAAAGGTGATTAGCAATCACTCAATCGGTTTGGAGGGACTTCATTCTGCAAAATACATCAAACATCTCATTTACAATAAAATTACAAGACGGTGGGCCACTGGATGCAAACTGCTAAAGCCCACAAATTCTTCACATGCCGAATCAGGAGAGGCTCGTCTGGCAGACGAACTCTGAGACATCAAAGCTTCAACCAAAGGATCACAAACAACAAAATCTGGATGTTCATTCACACCTGTCCTCTTCAGACCGCTTTACTCCAACTCCAGTCCGTCAACCTGGAAGGTTCGGCTCATTTGAGTTCTGCGTCAAAATCTGATGCAGACCAAAAAGCGAACTCTAATCCACCTGAAACCTCGGGATCGGTTCGGTTGAAGTGAAATCTGTTGTAGTTTGAATGCATATGTGAAGCAAACCAGAGTTCGCTCCAAAGCAGGAAGTAGACTACAGAGCAGGGCATTCTGGGTAAATACAACCAAAACAAAAGCGCCAGTCTGGCGTTTGCGGGAAAAACGGCTCATGGTTTTTCACCAACAATTGCTGAAATCTGAAGATACACCATTGTTGTTTACATTTTGTGAAGCAGGAAGTTGGCTTCATGTTTTCTTCAGAGGTTTTCATGTCGTTCCCTTCAGTGGTTCTTGGTGCAGAGCCCCCACAGGCGGGGAGGGGAACAGGTTTGTGTGAAAGAGAATCACAGCAGCTGAAATGCAACAAATGTTGCCATTTTGAACCGAGTCTACCGGACCATCAGGTGTGAAAACACCTTTGGTGGCCTTGGTTTAGTTTCATGACTCAACAATAAGTAAGAGAAACTTTCCAAAAATGGCTGCCAAAAAATAGATCCAAAAACACATTTTAAAGGGGTAGTATTGTCCCAACCATACACTGCTTCTTTAAAGTCAAGTTTGATATAAAAGATATCAAACATGACTTTAAAAACTGACGCCTTAAAATTGGGCCTCTGTCTCTTTAAGAAGCTCCTATTCTTTCAGACACTCCGCCTTCAGCATGTTATTTCCACAGCGCTCCTCCATTATGCTGTTTGTAGCCGTTCTTAGGAGAGTTGGACTGAAGCGGTTCATAAGATAGATGCTAACTGCTGCTGCCGCTAGTCTGGAGGAGCTGAGTGGGGAAGGCGCTTTGAAACAATCTGACAGTTGGACAAACTAAACGCATAAAAAAAAGACCCGTGTCTTTTTATTCAATAATTTACCAGGAAAAATGTTGCTTATTTTGTCTATATGATTTTCAACGCTGTAATTTCTCCATAAAAATTTTAATCAAGTCCCACCATTAAAAATAAATAAACATTTGGTGGCAATGAAACCCTCTTTGAAAGCATGTAGGAGAAGTTTGAGGCTTAAAGTGCAACCCTGGAGGTTTTTATCCTCTCTACTTTCCACCACACAGGCAAATTAAACTTTAATCCCCATCTGACCTCTCCAGTCTCCCTCTGACCCAACGCTGCTGAGTAATGCTTTATAACTCAAGTCCTTGGACACTTTTAGGTCAGCAGAAATTTATTACATCCTCAATTTTAAATCCATAGGAAGCAGAAATATCTTTTTTTTAATTTTTTTATTTTTAGCTAATCATATCTGGGTTCAAGTTTCCCCTTTAGATGCACAGACTGAAACAGAAAGATACGTGTTTCATAAGAAGGGAATACAATATGAGTTTTTGGATGTTGGACATGCTTTGTGTCTCATTGTGTGGCAGATTCCACGTCCACTCTCCTTCCTCTGTCGGGTCAATCCGGCGTCACACGTGACGAAGGATCAAAAACGCATTTGTGGAAAGTGTCGGGGTTTGGTGAATCAACGTCTGCGCGGAATGTTTTTTAATCCCCACATGAGGGAAGTGACAAACGGCGATAGGACGGACGGAACAGCTGTTGTTTTTGCGTTAGCAGCTGGATTCTCACAAAATATTTAACCATATTTTAGGAAAGACGTTAGCTGCTCAGTCTTTCCCAGCTGGCGAAGCAAGATTGGTGGCATTTGTTACCTAGCAACAACATGCTGAGTAATGAGCTGTTTCGAGTTCCGCTCAACTTCAGTTGCCTAGCAACAATCTGCTGAGTAACTTGCGCAGCAGCAGTTTCAGGTTTTTCCAATGTGCCTAATGACTGTTTAAAAATAAAAAAACAACAGCGTGGAGGGAAAACTGGATAAAACAGGATATGCTGCCAGTTTTAGATATTTAAAATAAAAATAAAAAACTCAATAGTTATCAATATACTGACATAAAATGGTTGAATCGCGATACGTTTTTCAGTCCTTGAATAACATAAAAGTGAAGAGTTGAAAATGAATCAGTTCCTCAATTAAAACTTTGATAAACCATAATAAATAAATAAATCTGCATAGAGAAATAAAAGAATGTCTCCAGATTTTTGCACATTATCCATAACCTCAGTAAACACTTGCTGCTCTTGTTCTAGAGATGTAACAATCATCTCGTCTGCTCGGCTAAGTGACAGAGATCTTGTTTGCGTGAGTTAAGTCAGGCCCGTTTCTCCTCACTTTCGACCCTGCAGGCTCATTATAAGTTGTTGCTGTTTGTTAAGCATGGCTGAACGTAGCCGCTGCAGCAGCATGATGGAGCTTCACCTATTAACACTTCCTGTCACCCTCTTTTGTTTACACTCACAGCGGTGCCAGTGTCAACCAATTTGCATGAAGGGAAAACAGAGTTCTCACTTTAACATTATGTTGCACTGATTAATGAGGCAGAGTTAGCGGAAGCTCATTTAAAAAGCTGATTAAAAGTTGGTGCATCTACTCTTCCTGGGCTGTTTGCATTGTGAGGGCTTTTCTGTCAGATTTCCTGTTTGGAGTGACTTGCAATCATCTATCAGAAGCAGAAGTGTTGCTCTCTTTGTTTAATTGCATTTTTCATGAGAATAAAAACGAGGCTTTGTGAAATGAAAACAGGGAATTTGTGTCGTTGCACCATCTGGTGTGCAGAAGTCCTTCTTTTCAAGTCATCAGGAAAGTTAACCAGCAATCCATCAAGCAATAATTTATGTACCGCACACATGCAATCCTGCACAGCTGCACCTAAAGCTCTTACATATGCATACGGAAACGCTCGCTAATCTCCTCCACTTTGTCCGACACACACGTTTCCACAAACCCGCCGACTTCAAAGCCATGTCAGAGCCTGCTTTGGGTCACGGCAACAGAAAAGGTTTAAGTCGTGCAAATCCACACAAACAGACACTGTAAGAGAGAAACTGTAAAAAGAGACAAGTTTTGTTCAATCTGTTGCTCCCTGATGTTGCTAAGACTTTGAAAACAGGCAGAATGTGACAAAAACAGAGCAGATGGCACAGATGGCTCACACTGACAAAAATAAAAATAATGTAGGGGGGATTTTTTTCCCATTTATTTGTCGTCTTACTTCGTTTTTAAGAGTCAAAAATCAGATTTTGTTGTAACACCGGGGAGAACGGAGTGAAACAAAAACAAACAATTTAGTCTGGTTTGAAATGGGAGCAGCAGGAAGCAGATGCTGTCCTGGGTGGGAGCTCAAAACTCAGCATTTAGGTTTCATTTCTGCAACTCCATTTCGTAGTTAGACCCACTCCATTCGACTTTTAAAGGCGACTCATTTTCTGAACAGCAGCGGCTTTTGTCCTCATATCCCATCATCAGTACTTAACGTTTAAAATTCCATCATTGAACTTCTGCAAGAAATTAAGGCTAAAATAAATGATTAGTTTGAGAAAAGATTCCTAATCTAAAGTGTTGTATCGAATGACAAGAGGTTTTTAGGACTATATTGCATCTGATTTGATTTCTTGTCTTTTGGTTTTCTCCTTTTTTGTCTAAAATGATCATACATAGATTTATTCATTTTTTCCATGTTTTTGTTCACAGAAAATATTCTCAAATTTTCTGTTGACCTACCTAATAAATTTTTATTTCATGTTTTTGTGAAACATATTTTGCAGATTTTCGATGTTTTTTTTGGGTGTGAACAAAGAAATTTTGTCTTTTTAAAAAACATTTTTGGATTTTTTTTTGTTGTAACTATAAATGTTTATATTTTTCTGGGAAATTTTGTTTACTAACATTTTTTGGTTTAAACTATGATTAATTTTTAATCTTTTTTATGTTTTTTTTCACAGCTTATGAGTCTATTCACAAAGTTTTTAACTTTTTATTCTGAAAAATTTATCGATCCACACTTTGTTTTGTGAAATAAGAATATTCTTTTTCTTTTTTTGTGTGGAAATTTTGTCCTGTGAACTAAAAATAAATGTTATTTCTTTTTTAATGATTTTTTCCAGAAATTTTTTTCATGGATTTTTTTAATGTAAACTAGAAATATAATTTTTGCTAGTTTAGTGAATAGATCCCAGATCTCACATTTAATTTGTACTATTTAAGACAAATTTAAACCCAAACGCTCAGCTTTAGTATAATTAAAAACCTGGACTATATTGCAATAAAAAGAGCTCAGTGGCTCATTTCTACTTGATTTAACATCCCAGGTTGTTAATATCGGTCTGTATACTTCAGGGAACAGCTTTTAAAATCGCCTTTTCCAGATTAATCTGTAAATACAGTTTGCAAGTGCGTTCAGAAAATCTATTGAGCTTTTTAATATCATCAGACTCTGTTAATAAATCCAGTTTGAAACTGTGTGTAGCTCATAAATATCAGAAAAAAAAGCTTATCAGAAAATAGAGATTGAACACAAATACTGACTCCAGCATATAAAGACTTTGATATCAGCACTTGTGTTTTATGGAAAAATCAGAGGAATAAAGAAGTGAGAAGTTAAACTGTCAGGCTGTTAAGACGAGATGATCAGAGGAGACGAAGTCTACCGCTCCACGCATCACAAATTTGAAATGTAACACTTGAAAAAGTGAAATCCTTCAGACATTTTATCTGTGAAGAAGCCCTGCGTTAAGCCGGGGGAAGCAGAGAGATTTGCATCATTACCTATTGTGCGTGGAATCATTCCTTGACGTGGCATCAAGTTGTCATCGAGGCCTTCCAGGCCACCGTAGAGGGAGTGGGAGATCCTGCGCTCGTGATCATCCAGACTGGTGTTTACGGTCTGCTGGGATCCCAACGGGTTTCCTGAAGAATCCTGAAACAAAGCGAAGAGATGGATACAATCAGCGTCCAACACCTTCAGTTTCAGTGATGCTTCATGAAAAACAAGCGATAATTCACTGTGGAGACAACTTCTCCCCACAGAGAAGATCAGATTCTGCATCACTTTTTCCGTCTTAAAGTTGTGAACCAGAACAAAGAAAAGCGTTTTCTCCAGAGCGGTCGTCAGAAAACATGCCTTGTGGGAAGCAGCCTTACTAAAACGCTGCGAACACTAATGGACGAGCAGAGGAGCAGGTTTCCATGCTAACGCGACCGCTGTGATAACAAGAATAAATGAGCTCAGATTGTCAACAGGCCATTGAGTCACCGGCTGTTAACAAGCCACCTGAGCCATGCAGAAGAAGGTTAACTCTCCACCAGCCTGACATTTCCCTCAAGACCCGCGATGACACTTCCTTGTTTGCTGGACAAATAGACCATTTGCAGAGTGTCACCCAGCAGCTCCCGTCCGCGCAGCGGCGTGGGCGTCTCTGCCCTCAGTGTTTGTCCATTGGATCATTGACTCCATTGATTTGCTGGGGCTTCCGCATTTTCGCTGACGGAGATCACAGCCCTCGCTATGAAGATGACCGACGTGGCCGGCATCACGTAACGAGAGATAACGCTGGAGTCGATACTGGAGCCAAATTACCCCAATCGATGGCTGTAACTGGCTAGGCTGGGATTCGATTTTGGCAAAAGGTCTTTGACCAATGATTCCTGCCTCTCAGTGAACAGCTAAGGTGCCGTGCAGTAACCACCACAGACAAGATCCTGAAGAAAACATCTGTTTTTTATAAAGGGCTCCACATATGAGAACCACAGCAGGAGAGAAAAAGAGAAACGTGAAGAAGTGGGGATTTATTAGGTCCTAAGTCAGTCGCCTAGCAGCTGGCTAGTCTGAAGGAGCTGAATGGGGAGTCCAGAGTTGATGAATTGTTTATGTTAGTGGTGCAACGATTGCAGTTTTCTGGCCCATCTACAAACCCGGCTGTCGAAGGATGCAGCCCCTGACTTCGGACACAGCTTGTATCAAACTTCATCAGTTTATGTTAAACAAAAACCAGTTTGTGCATGAAATTCTGAAACTTAAATTACCAGTATTGACCCATTGCAGCTACATTCATGATGGATGTCGTCGGTAGTATTGAACAAAGCAACTGAAATGGTTTTCTAAAGTTGTTTTAATCAGTTTAATCATGGCTTCTTCTTGTTCCCAGCTAATCTCTGTGAAGGTAACAACCTGGGGCTGACAGACGGACAGCAGCAGCAGGGTAATCTGCAGTTATTTAATTCATTATTAAATCCTTTGTGTTTGCGAGTGTGACGGCGCCAAACTCCCCCCCAACAGGACAATGATCCTAAACGTTAAAGACATGAGAGGCATGGGGGGGGAAATATTGATTTCTCGGGCCTGAACAAGATTGTGCAATTTGAGGCGAAATGTCAATAAGCAATTGAGACGACAATTAAAATGTTTCCACATCAATACTTTAAAAAACACAAACCTGGCCCAGATGGCATTCAATATAAACTGGGAATACCGAAGGAAGTTTGAGCAAATTGCCTCTAAACAATGGACAGGAACTGACATTAATCAACGGATAAAGTTCTAATGGAGTCCAGATTTTACTAATACCAGATAAGGTCTTCATTAGCAGACTCTTTGTTTTAAAGGTAATCAAATGACTGAAATAACAACAGAATGAAGAAAACCAATCAAAACTTCACACGGAGCCAACAAATCAACTTCGGAAACAAACTAATTTCAAAGGTCGCCATATGGCTCAGCGACTGCTGGCTGCTCTTGACTCTAAATGAGGTAGTTAATGAATTGGCCGACCGAGGAGCCGGGCTGAAATGCCTCCGTAATAGCAGAGGGGATTTAGCAGGCCGACGTCGCATTGACAAATCACGCCGCAGCTCATTGCATATTCCGGCTGGTAGCTGAGCTGGATCCCAGCGGCGGGGTGGAAGCGCGCTGCTCTCAGGTCGGTGTGTTTCTGGGTCTGGGTGAAGCAGCGGGAAGCAGTTGGGCTTGTGATTTATGCAGCGACAAACATTTCAGATTGATTTGAGATTGGCTGTCAGGGGATGGAGACATGGGGAGGAAAGTAAATACAGGATTATTTGATCCCATATGTCAGAAAAATGTCAAAATGAGCCAAGGCTCTCATCCCACGGTAATTAGTTATTAGAAGAGCTTTTTTAAATATTTGACAGACAGGCTGAGGAGGACGGCATTATTCTCCAGCAGCTTAAAGCTGCAGCATGTAACTTTTATAGAAATGTTTGTTAAAGCTGTCACCATGTCGTTACAGATTAATAATAGCCAGATAATCTGTGAAAAGACTGATCACCGCAACCTTCTCCCTGAGCGAATGCGGCTGTCTGAAGAAAAGCATCGATCCCCACCAAAAACAACCACTCTGAACCAGAAGGCGGATCTTAGCACTGCCCATCATCCTCATGTATGCGCTCCTCAATGTTCTAGTGGTGGAAAAACAGCTCACAGTTATCGGAGGCCAGGCTAGCCAGCGTTAGCCTTCATAGCCTTGATTTAAAGGAACTCAGTGTTTCAGCTGTTTTGCAGTTTTCTGTGAGCTTGTTCCAGATCTGTGGTGCATAGAAGCTGAATGCTGCTTGTAGAGCATGTCTGTACAGTAAAAAAAAGTATCAAATTGGTTTCCATCCTTCTTTTGTGGAGTGTTTTCCTATAAACAAGCAGACACTTGGTCAGCCGTAGGCCGTGCCTCCAGCTATGCATGTGAAACAAAGAGAGAGACTCCAAGGCTGAGTTTCATCCAGTCCTAATTCTCCCTGAGAAGTTTTGCCACCCGACGCGTCGTTTGAGCAAACAAACGGAGAAACAGACCTGAAAATAGGCGCTCACACACACTCTTACATGCATACATAAATGGGAGGCTGATGCAAACATGTGCATACACCGAAAAACACCTCCAGGCTTAGCCTCTGCTTTCAATTACCAGGCGGACCGAGGGGAAATCTAAACTTTGACACGCCGGGTTGGGGAAGGAGAGCGGGGAAGCCTGGTAGCGCCAGAGGCGTACACTCGCACACCAACGCTCACTCAGCCTTCGCTTTCAAGCAGGCGACAAGCCGAGGTGTGCAGGGAACGTAAAGACATGACATTGAAGGGAGGTAAGAAAAAAAATAAATAAATAAAAATGGCGCCGCTTGGTTTGCAGCCTGTTTTCATTCCTCCACCTGCCCCACGGGAGGCGTGTTAGTGTGTGAGGGAGCGACTGGTAAATCACTCTGACCTGGAAACTTTCTGGTTCTACATGAAATAATTAACCGATGCTCATATGACCAGGTAGTCTGCTCAGGGCGCAGTCGTGTTTTTATCGCTGAAGCTCCACGTTGGTACTAAAAAGTCAACAAGAGAAAATAACATCCTCAATCTAAACGTGGAAATAAACTATGCTACATAAAGCTGTGCAAACTGGGATTACAAAAATAAATTAGCTTAATGGAAACGTTTTCCTATGAAATGTTTTTACGGTAGCATGAGGGAATTGTTTTGGCTGCATCATAACCAGAAGTCACTACTGGTGGAAACGACAAAGAAAACAACAGGAAATGGTACTAGGATAATGTTTTTTTAAAGACTTATTGCATGAACAAGTTTTAAAATCACAAGGGATTTTAATTATGTTTCTTATTGTAAAGGAAACGCAGCTATAAGGTATTACACATTTTTTACTGTTTGTTGCATTTTACTTTTATTTTATGAAGACCACAAAAAGTAATAATCATACAGAAAAACTAGAATTTTGAGGGAAAATGCTGCTTTATGAGAAAAATAAAACTAAAACCATTAAAAAGCGTACTTGGAGTCTGCTGAAAGCTACATAATTTATCTTGTGATTAATTTGCTGCTCATTATGACGGGCCTTCTGGTTCCAGTCATTCTCTACCTCGTTGCTCTTGGCCACTCGTCGGGCCACTATCAGCTGGATCATCCCGCGCTTGTTGCCTTCTGTTGACATCGACTTCCTCAGCGTCTCCATGGCGTCTTGGTTGGTTTTCCCCAACAGCGATTCGCCGTTCACCGCAATCAGCTGGTCGTTCACCCTCAGTCGTCCATCCTGTTTGTCAGACAAAGAATAATAGTTTATGACTCCTTACACTGCAAAAACACAAAAATGCTTACAAAATAACTTACAAGTAAATGTAGTAGTTCCAATTCTTTTAATAAGAGTTATTTACTTAAGCTCTTAAGTTAATTTGATCTTATTTCGAGATATTTTCATTAGAAACTAGACTACAAATACATTTGCATGTTTGCAGCATACTAATAAGAAACTTCTCTAAAACGTTCATAAACAGCAGGACGCTCAGTACCTTGCAGGCTGCTCCACCGTTTATGATTGATTTGACAAATATGCCGAGATCTGCGTGGTTTTCCTTGGAGCGGTTGCCTTTCACGCTGACGCCCAAACCTGCAGAACCCGAGTCGCTGAGCGGGATCTCGAAGGTCAGGAACTCTCTGGTCCCATCGGGCGTCAGGACCAGTTCATCCTCCTCCGCTTTCTGCAATAGGAACAAACAAACACATCCAGATTTAAAATGTAACTTCTGAAAGTATTTAACTCAGGGATGGTCAAAGTGCGGCCTGTGGGCCATTTACAGACTGTTAGCTCAGTTAGTTTTTTTTAGTTAGTTTTTTATTTTTAAAGTCAAAAACTAACAGCAAGCAACACAACTATGATTGTAATATACCAGGCTAACACGTAACTAGCAACTTATTGACATCATTGACTCAGCAAGAGTTAATTATTTGTTTACTTATCTTCTAGTTTATTTTTCCAACCTAAAAAACCAAGCAAAGTAGATTAAGATGCATGCCATGAGTTACAGGTTTTATGTGTTTTTAAAGCTAAAACTGACACCCAAAAGGAAAAACAAAAACGCTAGTTAGCATCAAGTCTCAGTGGGAGCGTACCTAGTGAAGTCTGGCACAATTTGCTCTGAGTTATAAAAGTGAGCCCAGCAGCAGGATAAGCTAGTTTCTAATGTGTCAAGGAAGGAGAATCCACATGAAAACATGGCACAGATCTACTTCCCGAGTTGGCTTGGTGGCTGGCAGCTAACTCGCAGCCCTGCGGTCCGGGGGAAAAAGAAATAACTTCTTCCCCTCAGAACTTATGCTGTCTGGTTCGCCACAGTCAGCGGCACACTTGACTGACATTTCTTCCTGATTTTAGAGTTTACAGGTTCTTCCTGGGAGCTATAATTATAATAGACAGTGTGCAGCATTTATGTGCAGTGCAGTAAAGTTTTATTCTTCTACTGCACTCGTTTCAAAACCTATATATGTCTAAATAGTTGCAGTTTTGATTACAAGCTTGGAAATAACATGCAATATAATAATTATAGAAAATATAATGGAACAAGAGGTTGTAGTAGCAGAGAAATATAGTAAAATCTGTACCTGATGTCACCCAGCAACCCAGCACTAACACATCAGCCTAATTGACATGCTGAGAGCTTTCTCGCGCTTCTCTCTACAACAGGTGCTTCTCTCACTTCATTTCTTATATTCATTCTCACTCTGTCTTCCAGTGCAACAATAAAAAGCCATTCTCTCTTGCTTGTTATTTGACAGCTGTCCTGTGAATAGAAGGGTGCACGCACGCTGCCGCCTGGCAATTATTGTGCACGCCTAATGAATTCAATCATCAGGCTCGGTGTCAGCATGTCATTAGCCCCCTTTGTTTGCTGGGAGAGAGATGGAATTACTCTTTGTGGAATGGAAGGGGGAGAAGAAGAGGCAAAGAGGGGATGGGGGGCAAAATGAAGATGGAGTTCAGATGAATGAGAGGGAACACAAGAAAAGGGAAAAACAAGGAAGCATAAAAACCACAGTCAGCATAGCTATATGTTCTGAAAAAACAAATAATGCAGAAACCAATTACTTAAAAAAAAAAGACATCGGAGGTAGGATTTTATTTTATAAAATAATATCCAAATTATTCCAACAATTTATTTATTAGCATAATTAGCAAAAGTAAGTATGGGCGAATGAAAACTGTAAAGCTGCAAACTGATTGAGTGAGAAAGAAATCGGATTAAAAGTAATAATATACAAACTCTAATGCTGTCTAAAGGTAAATGCTAACTTCCTGTTTACCGAAAATAGACAGTCTTGAACATTTTGCCAGATGTCAATTTATAACCACAAACATAAAACAGCTGATAACAGCTGACGTGTTTTTGGTTGGAATATTTATAAAAAATGCCATCTTTTGGTTTAGAGTAACAAAGTTAGCATTATTGTTTCCCATGTGATATGCTATGGTTAGCCGTTAGCTTGCAGTTAACAACAGATTTGGTTGCTTACTATTGGTTGTTCGCTTGCAGTTTATAAAAATTACTGGGTTGTAATTTTTGGCTGACAGCTTGTAGTTTTCATTCACATCTTGTTTGTTAAATAGGTTTTGGTTTGTGTGATTTGGTTGTTAGCATGACTACTGTTAGCATATGCTTATTGAAAGCTTTCATGCTGACATTTTGTATTATGCTGGCCAAGTTACTCTTATAAAAAGAAACGTAATCTTGGTTAAATAAAAATTAAAAGAAAAAATGGAATTTAGACGTGAATTAGTAGTTTTTTAGCTTTTGGCTTGGAGATTTTAAGCAGGACTTAAATGTTAGCTTGTAGCTAGCAAGTTTATTTTTGTCTGTAGTTGGATTGGTAAGCTGTTATTTAGATCATCTGTCGTTAACAATAATTGCTCAGTTGTTATCTATTTGTTTACAAAACAATCAATCGGTTGTTTGCTAGCTATGCTAACTACATTGCATTTCCGCTAAAATTAGCTCAGTGCTTTCCTTGTTGAATTACAACTTCTCAAGTGAACAACATTGAATTTCACACAAAATGTAGATCTAATAACTTCTAGCTATAGATTACTAAAGTAAAATGCCATAGACTTTCTGAGAATGTCTAATATGTAGTTTTTCTGTCCCACATCAAATTTAAACAAGAAATGCTAACATGATCAGTGAAAATAACAAGAGAAATATACCATTTTCAATAAGAGGATTTGCTGATTTGAAAAATAGTAGATAATAATGTCTTGGTAGATATAATATCCATTTAAAATTCCTTAATTTTGTTTAGTGGAGCCAAAGGAAATGAAAATAGATTTCTTATCTCAACCTTTTAGACGTGCATTAGGTCACACATTCTAAACGTTTCAAAGGATTTTATAATAACAATGAAGACAGGAAAGAGGGAATGCAGCAAAATGTGACAAGGTAAAATTAAATTAAAGACAGCTGCTGGAGAGAGGCGCGACGGCACAAAGAGAGGCTGAATGAAGGTGAGGGGAGAGAGAGGAGATGTGCTGAGGAGATGAAGGACAGAGACAAGCACAGCGAGGGTGAAAAGGCGAAGAGCCGAGAAGAAACGGGTGAAAAGAATGAGAACGCGCGAGCATGACAATGACAGAGCGAGCGGGCGACTGAGTGTGAATGAAGGACCGCCAGAAAGGGATGAATCCATGTGGAACACAAAATGAGAGACACTACATCCTTTCAGTCTGAATGTATATCTTTTACTTTGTCCCACCTTTTCCTTTCACGGCCGTCCATCTTTTCATTCACCTGTCTCCTTTTATGCTGCTTTCCTAACTTCTTCACTCTTTTCCAAACTATTTCTGCTCAGGTTCTGGTTTCTACTTTCATCACCAACTCTCCTCTTTTGCTGCTGTTATCTATATTTCACTAATTTGAGAGAGAAAACTTAAAGCGGTGAAAATTCAAAATGAAGCTTGTTGCAGAAATTATATCTGAAGGCCTTATTATGTCCAATCAATACAAATAATTAAAGTACAAATACAGGAAGTGTACTTTCTGTATTTGCAAGAAAAATAAAGCATATAAAAATATCTAAACTTTAGTGTTTTTGTAAGGATATTTGAAATATTTGGGATTTGTTGTATTTTTCCCTCTTTTGTGTAAATGGTTATTTTTCCAATTTTTAACATTTTTGTTCCTGAGAAATATCGGTTTTTCTTGTTTGTGTGTGTTCATAAAAAGTTGTTAATCAATGTTTTGAAATGAGTTTGCTTCCGTTTCACATCGTAAGTTTTGTAAGAGAATGTGTTCGCGATTTAATGATGAAACTTGTTTTGATGTATTTACTTCAAACAAGTTTTTAAAAACAAGAAGGAATAAAAAGCAATCAGTAGGACAGAGAAAACGTGCATACTTAACAAAAACACAAAATGATTAGCTTAACTCTAATTTAATCCAACACCACACCTCAATTTATTAAATATATTGATTACGGACTCAATATTTATCAAACAAGTTGCATTAGTTTGCAGTTTAAAACTAGGATTTGGTTATTTTGAGTTCAGATTTTAGTTAAGCTTAGACAGTGATGCTTAGAAGCATCTCTGTTTGTAAATCAATGATGAAATTGATCAACTGAGTGAATAAACTGATTAATTGATTTGATTTAATGTGGTTTACTCCATTTGCTGCCAACATCTTTAATGTTTCTGAAACCAATTAAATAGTATTTACTTGTAAAACACCAAATCATAATATGTCAATATTATGAGAAAAATTGCAAAAAACTCGACACAAAGGATGATAAGTCATGCTTGAAAGGCTTAAGAACTCCAACTGCACTTTTTCCCTCAAACAGTTTTTCCCTCTGAAATGATTAAGAGTTTGGTGGTAAACTCAAGACTTGATGTCTTCTGGAAAAGTCACCAGAATGAAATTAAAAACAGAAAGTTGTGGGTGATGATTGCTAAGGAGGAGACAGAAGGAGACGGTGATGGAGGTGAAAAGGAGGCAGTGAAGGGTGTAATTGGTCAGGAGAAGTGGAGCGTGGCGGCCATTGTTGGCTGCCTACTGTAGCATCCATCTCCACATGTTCATTCTCCGATTCTGCCGCTGCATTTATCCACCGCCATTTTGATACACGCACTTCCTACGTTCGTATGCGACCTGTTGTGTTTGCTTCATCATCCATCTTTTAAGTGAAAATAAATCTGCCCTCTGGTTTTAATCTGTCCATCGGTTTCTGATTCCTCCTTTCCGCTGTCAGTCTCTTCCTCTCTCCCAGCGGCTGCGATGCGCCGCGATGATAGACCATGAATATCAAATACCTGCTTGATCGACTGGGCCGAGAGCGGCTCAGCATGGGAGAAGAGCGAGGAAGAGCTGTGTGTCACGGTTCAATCCTGTTTTCGTTGTAAAATTCTGTACATATTCAGAATTTCCAGGCTGATTTCTATTTCCAGAGAGACTCTAGAAAACACCAGTAGAAGAGAGAGAGAGGGAGGACGGACGGATGGATGGAAGGAAGGACGGACGGACGGGTTTACAGATAGATGAATAATCAAATTTCTTTATCGGACTGCAAAAATATCCAAATCAAATCCCACAGTTGATATTTTTCCTGCCTCACTGTGAGAACAAACTAAAAATAAAGTAAATTGGCTCCCTAAAAGACGAGCCATGGTTTGGAGGAGGAACCATCTGATGCTCACATCTAATCAGCCGCCCTG